ATGTGGAGTTTTTTTTGATGTCTTTGAGCATCTCTTTACTTTCTTAACACTAACTTATATGCTCATCTTGTGTATTTCCTTACCCAGTCCTACAGCCAGCTACTTCTCTAGAGAGGAACTATACACTTTCCCCTCCTCTTGTACTGGGGATAGACCCCAGGGCCATATATATGCTAAGGAAATGCTCTACCACTGACTCATTTTTTATTTTGAGACAGGGTCTTACTAAGATCCCCAGGCTGTCTTTGAATTTTAAAATTCTCCTGCCTTATCATCCTGAATAGCTGGGTTTATAGCTGTGCACTTTTATAAACTCAGTATTTCCTTTTAATATTTGTTTTTTAGTTGTAGTTGGACACACTATCTTTCTTTTATTTTTATGTGGTGCTGAGGATCAAACCCAGGGCCTCGAACGTACTAGGCGAGCGCTCTTCTGCTAAGCCACGATCCCAGCCCTCAGTAATTTTTTAATTTGTTATTCCAAATATGAAAACATTTCTACAATATCTAACATTTTTTTAGTTTCTCAGAAGCAAAAGATGGAAAAATGTTTGATAAATGATACAATCAGGAAATGCAAATTCTCAGTAAAGATTTCACAAAAGATTATTTATATTTATTAGAGCATAAAAATGAGAGAAATTATTTGAAATTATAAATGTCATAGAAAAATTAGAGGTCTTTAGTTTTCCTGTCTATAAAAAATATAAAAAGAACTTGCTTTTTTTAAACTTTCCTTTTTTGCAGTGCTGGAAATTGAACCCAGAACCTATTACATTCTAGGCAAGTGCTCTACCACCAAATTATATCTCTAGCACTTAGAAGGGAAACTTATAAAGACAGAAAATTATTCTGGTTGGGCTCCTTGAATAGTAAGTAGAAAGTAGATTATGAAGTAAACTTGGAAAATTTAGCAAGAGAAAATTATGTACATTGACAAGTAGAGAACAAATGGAAATGAATACACTTTGTTCACTGATTTGTGCAATGACATTTTAAGATAGCCTTGTTAAAATAGTTTTCATTAATTTATAAATTATTTTGGCTGACTAAACATTATTTTCTTTTTCTGTACCTGGAATTGAGTTCAGGGGTGCTGTACCAATGAGCTACTGAGCTGAGTCCCGGGTTCCCACCCACTCCCCACATTTTTTTTTTTTTTTTTAAATTTGAGACAAGTTCTCTCTTAGTTGTCCAGACTGGACTTAAACTCCTTCCTCAGTTTCCGGAGTGGCTGGACTTACAGGTATGTGCCACCATACCTAGCTGACTCAGCATTATTTAAAGGATCTCAGAAAGATCAAAATTGGAGAGATGTTGAGGAGAGATTTGGCTATAAAACAGTGTATACGGACTGGGGATATAACTCAGTGGTTGAATGCTTACCTGATATGCCCAAGATGTTGGGTCCAATACCACAAAACCAAACCAAAACAAAACCCACAAATAGCATATGTATAATATGTTCTGATTTGTATAAAAATCTTTAATTGTATTCATAGAAAAAAATCTTGAATATGCATCAGCCTGAACATAGTTATCTATTTCTGTAGTATTGGTAGTTCTTATAAAAAAACGGAAATCAGAATAAGTTATAGAAGAAGAACTCAATAAACTTTAGACAAGGCTAAAATACTTTTTTTTTTTTTTTTTTGGTGGTGCCATGTATTGAACTCAGGACCTTGTGCATGCTAGACAAGCACTCTACCATTGAACTATGCCCCAAGCCCCCAAATATAACTCTATTATTTTTTAAAAATGTTTAGTTGTAGATGTACACAATACCTCTGTTTTATTTATTTATTTATGTGTTGCTTAGGATCAAACCCAGTGCCACATGCATGTGAGGCAAATGCTGTACTACTGAGCCACAACCCCAGACCTCTATTAATTTTTTAATAGAGGTTAAACACCTGGGATTGAACCCAGGGGCACTTAACCACTGGACCACATCCCTAGAGTTTTCTATTATTTATTTATTTAAAAATATTTATTTTTTTAGTCACAATATCTTTATTTATTTTTGTGTGGTGCTGAGGATCGAACCCAGGGCCTGGCATGTGTTAGATGAGCGCTCTACTGCTAAGCCACAACCCCAGTCCCTCTATTTTTTATTTTGAGACAGGGTCTCGCTAAATTGCTTAGGGCTACACTAAATTGCGGAAGGTGGTTTTGAACTTGGGATCCTCCTGCCTCAGCTTCTGAGAGGTTGGAATTACAGGCATGTGTCACCATACCCAGCTCCCCCAAATACATTTTAAAATGTAATGTTTCTTAAGAAGTAAAACAAGAGAAAAAATTCACAGATGAATTAAGATTGAGGGGGGTAGGTAAAGTTCAATTATAGCTAAAAATGGGGTTTGAATGGTTGGTCAGAAAGAAGACATTTTTATTGGAATGAAGAAGTAATTCTAATATAATATTAAGTAAATGGGAGTTAGTAAATTATTTTAGAGATGAGGTTTCTTCATTATATAGGTTGGCAAAGCTATAGAGCAGGAGGTCTCTGGAGTTTAGAAATAGAAGGGTGTTGTAGTGATTCATATTTGGGACCATTCACACTAGTCCCCATTCTAATCAGAATTTAAGAGGAACATGGTAGAATTGGGGGCATTTCATAAGAGCAGTGGTTCTTAAAACTTAGTCTGCAACTCTCTTCAATGATTAAAAATTATTGAGGACCTCAAAGAATTTAAGTATGCAGGGGTTATATTTATCCATAGTTACTGTATTAAGAATTAAAATATACTTATTGGTTTAATTTTAAAATACTCAAAACATTTTGACATAAATTGCATATTTTTATAAAAAGAAACTGTATTTTCCAAAATACAATTTTCTGAAAAGAATGGCATTGTTTTTACATTTTTTGCAAATCTCTAATTATTTAACTTAGAATACAGTTAGATTGTATATAGTTGAATTAGATCATGAAACTCAGGCCTTAGAAGGAGCATTAATTGTCTTTTTGGGTAGTCCTGGGTAAGACTTTTTGTACTTTGTTTTTTATATGTACGCACACATTATCATACAAACAAGTAGACTGAATATCCATCCATTTGTCATCTTGTATTTTGTTTTCTTTTGCTTTTTGCAGTACTGAGGATTAAACTCAGGGATGTTTTACCACTGGCCACATCCCTTGTCCTTTTATTTTTCATTTTGACACAGGGTCTTGCTAAATTGCCTGAAACTTTTGATCCTCTTGCCTCAGCTTTTTGAGTTGCTGGATTACAGGTGTGTGCCACTGTGCCTGGCTTGAATGAATCTTTTATTGATACATGATTTTGTAATATCCTGCCTTGGTCATTTGGAAAGTCATTTGGAAAATGATGGTTCGCTATGTTATGTAGATCTTCCATATGTTGACATATTTCATCATATCAAAAGGTCATATTTGTTTTCAGCACTTGTCTTTTAAGTCTTGGGAATTTGTCCAGCTCATGGTGGCGAACACACATTTTCCAAATTCCACTTGAAAGCTGAATTTTATCATTGGCAACAAATACTGCCAAGTGTTTGCTTGAAGTGTTAACTCACTTGGTTCATTTTGGGGAAAATATTTGTGAATTCCCAAGTTGGAATAACATTGGTTTGTCAATTGTTCTTTCAAGTAGAATGATATTCTATGACAAAAGCAGCTATTTCAGCGTGTAACTCAACCACACTTGCTTTTCTTCAAGACAGCTTTGGCATGCAGCAGAATTTCATTTATCCTTCTCATTTCTTCACAAAATATTAGAAAGTATTGAAATTTAATAAAATCAAGGTGATACAATGGAAACAACTGAATTTAGTATATCATAACTTTTTATTGCATTGAAGAGTACAGACTTCAATAGTAAGAGGAGGAAAATACGTGGGGTTTATCAGGTCAGGAGGCAGGATTTTCTTATTTTTTGCGGTACTGGGGATTGAACCCAGGATTCCTCGCACATGCTAGGTGAGCCCTGACATACACTCCCAGCCGTTTTTATTTTAATATTGAGACAGAGTCTACCCCACTGTGCCCAAGCTGGCCTCGAACTTGTGGACCTCCTGTCTCCGGCTTCCGCGTCGCTAAGATTACACACATGCGCCACCGCACCCGGAGCGACAAGATTTTAAATGGGATTTGAAGGATTGGCACAGTTTGGAAGAAAGGGTGGGAAGGGAAATATTTGTTCAAAATGTACAACAAAGAGCAAACCTTGACTACTGACATCTCGGCGATATGAAAGGTAATTAAGGAACAAAGGTGTTCCCTTGTGGTTCTGTGTGTATGACGAGGTGATGGGCAACGCTACGTGTTTGTCAACATTACCCTTTAAGGGGGTGGAGTTGCGGGTTGGTGAAGGTGCGGAGTTCGCGATCGCAGCAGCGAGGGAAAGTTTCGTTAATGAAAATACACTTATGTCTCAGACTTTGTCTATAGATTAAAAACCCACTTAAAAAAAGTTTGCCAGTGGGAAAAGTAGTTTAATCAATATATTTCGGAGACGTGGGGCAAGAGGTTTTGGAATATTCGCAATGATCTGAAACTCTTCGAGGTGGAATACTTATGTTGAAAACACCATTTAACAAATAGTTATTAGAAGTCCCAAAACTTGTCGTGTGTTGTGTCTCTAGAGCTCAGAACTGTGATTGCTTCACTAGTGAGCACCTCGAGGAAGCACTTTGCATATTGATTTCCGTGGCCTTCGCAATTGCATAAAATTGGGCTCCCCGCGCTTGCCGTAACGCGGACTCTACCATTGCTTTCTGAGGGGGGATTTGGAAGCAGCGGAAGAAGGCGATCAGAGGGTGTGTGTTGGGCAAAGCCGGTTGCTCAGGAGGACGTTTGATTTACAGATCTAGTGATCGGCCTGTCCTTCTCCCTCTTCCCCTTCCCTACTGTCCCTGTCCCGCCCCGGACCGACGGCGGCATTGGGCTTTGAGGTATTTCCTCGCGGAGGCAGGTGAGTGTCGGCGCGCGGGCTCCCCGGGCTTTGCTCCCCACCCCCCGCGTCTCCAGGGCGGGTGGCGGAGGCCGGCCGGGGAGGCGGCCTCGGCGCACAGTAATGGCAGCGCTGTGAGCAGGGAACGCGAGCTGACAGCCGCCACCACCGCCGCCGCCCACCTTCCTCGCTGGGGGCTTCGTCCTTCACTCCTTCGGGTTGCCTCCCCTCCCCTTGCCCCCTGCCCCTTGTCCTGCTTCTGCAGAAGGTAACCCCGCTGAGGGTTGGGGAGCAGGGCTGCAGGCGCCTGGAAACTTCCCTTCCCGGCTAATGGGTGGAGGGGATGGGGCGGAGGAAAGGAGTTGGGGGCGACGTCGGGAGAGGGATGGATGAAAGGGGGAGGTCAAGAAAGATGGTGTCCTGAAAGTGACCTCGGCTCCTCAGAGTACTGACCCCTAAGCCCGGCCACCCCTTGGACTGGATCCCGGGCCTCGCCGACCCGGTCTTGGCCGCCCCTCCCTTGGTTCCATTTTCCTCCAAAGGAGGGAAGGTGAGAGAGTGCGTGTACTCCTGCTTATTTACGTGCCCACACGGATACAGAAGTCTCTGTGTTGAGGTCGGGGGTGGCATCAATCTCATACATCCTTACCGGGAGTATTTTCACTTTTGTTTTCGCAGACAGTGAAGATTGATAGCTTTGGGGAGGAGTATTCTACGTGCATGCTAGACCTCCTGTCTCAACACTTAGGGTCTGGTGAAATAAGATCCTCAGACTGTCTTTCAGCACTTGGTTACACACTAGGGAGTCTGGACCATTCCCTACCATTATGTGCATGCAGATAAAAGCTCTGAATTGCACACTGTTATTATTATTAAGTTCTCTCTCCCATGAACTGCTATGACCAGTTGAATGGCAATGCCCTGGAAGTTTAAATTTGAAGATAGTAGGATGTAAACTATTAACATTCTCTTTAAACTCTTTGACTTTGAATATGAAAAATCTTGGAATAAGACCTGTCACAAACTTACATTCATACCGAAGTATGAGAAATAATCGTTTTGTTCTATTTCCTACACTTTAAAATCTCACATACTTTTACAAGACCTGACAACTGAACTAATTAGTGATAATTTGCCTCTTTTGCCCTTATGCAGTATTTGGAAGACCCTTCCAAAAGGATCACAGATGAAATAATTGTACATAGTGTTTTTTTTTTAAGAATTTAATCTTTATTTTATTTATTTGTTTTCATGTGGTGCTGAGAATCAAACCCAGTGCCTCACAAGTGCTAGGCAGGTGCTCTACCATAAGCTACAACCCCAGCCCCATACATAGCGTTCTGAGATCTGTTTTTTCAGATGCTGTTTGAGTTGGGGGAACATTTTTATAGTATGCATTACCTTTTGAATATTAGATGTTCAAAAGCATCTGACATACTCTTACTTTGTCCTCCATCCTCTCTGGAGATTTTCAGTGTTTTATAGATAGGAAGATAGTTTGTTCATGTCTTTCCCTTTCCTGTCATTAAATTAAATGTTGTAGACCTTCTTTAGTTTTGGCATATTTATTAAGCACCTGGTCTGCATGCCAAGAAATATCACAGGCATTAGGGATACAGAATTGCAGCTTCAGTGCTAGTTGGAGAGGGAGAGACAATAGGAAACAAATAATTCCAGAGAATAAGTGCTGTGATGGAATAAAATAAGGAGTTGTGATTGGGAGAAGATTATTTCAGATACTGTGGTCAGGAAATACCTTTCTGTGGTGACTTTTGATCCGATGTTTGAAAAATGAGAAGACTCAGCCTTTGTAAGTTCTGAAGGAGGAGTGTTCCTGTCAGAGGGTTCAATGAATGGAAGATCTCTGAGGTGGTATCACACTTGAGTCTAGCAAACTGAAAAGCAGCTCAATGTAGATAGATGCTGGTGAGAGAAGTCTACATCATAGCTAGAGGCTAAGTCTTATGGGGTCTTATTTTCAAAACAGTTTGACTTTTACGCTTAAATTACATTGAAAAACTTTTTTTTTTTTTTTTTTTAATAAAGAACTGGGAGTATATGGTCTGAATTAAAATCTGACTGTAGATTGGAGAAGAAAATCAGGGCACCTGTAGGAAGACAAGTGGCCATGGAGCATTGAGACAAGTGACCAGGTTTGGAAATATGTTTTGGGGTGAAAAAATATTTATTGAACTTGTTATAGATTGGATATGTGTGTAGTTAGTTGGAATGGGGTGTCTGCTGGGTTTCTGGCTTCAGCTGCAGGATGGCGATGCCATGTACTAGATGGAGAAGAGGTGAGGGAAACTGGTTATGTGGAAATGGAATTGGATTAGACATATTTGAGTTGGATCCAGTTCTTCAGGTGGAGGTCAGAAGTAGGCAATTGGGTATACAAGTTGAATTTAGTGGAAAGGTTAAGGATTCCATCATTTTTTTTTTTTTTTTGGCAGATGTTTTTTAAGCACCAGCTATGGACCATGTAATATGGAGAAAGTATTGAGAAATTAGGCAAAAATCTCTGCCTTCATAGAACTTAAATTCTAGTGGGGAAAGATGAAGATGAGGAGTCATCATTATTTATCTGTTGGTATACTATACTGTATGGTTTGGTTAAAAATTGTATTATAATTCAAAATTTAAAATGTTCAGTTAGGTATAGAATTAAAAATCTCCTTCCACTTTCTTGTATTCATCATCCAATTTTCTTTGGATCCAAACAATGTTAGCTGTTCCTTACATTTCTTCCAAAGGATTATTTTGTACACCTGTAAGCAAGTGTGTATATATTCTTTCCATTTTGTAAAAATGTTAGTATACTTTACCTGCTTTGTATTTTTTAGAGTATTAAATAGTGCTTAAAACTTATAAAAGAAGTTGCCTATATACTAGCACCTTAGAAGACTGAGGCAGAAGGATGGCAGATTTGAGGCCAGCCAAGGAAATTTAGTGAGAACCTGTCTCAAAAGAAACAAAAGGGCTGGAGATGTGGCTCAATGGTAGAACTACCCCCATACCCCCAAAACATTATGAAACAAGTGAGAACACCCAAAGAGAAAACATAAGAGAAGAAAACCATAGGGTCCTCTAACATTTTCTGATTTGGCTCTCTGCCCTTTCTGAGTTTTTGATTATTTAAAGAGCTTTTCTTTATGTGTGACTGTACCAAAATTTGTATTGTTCTACATCATCTGCCATTTCTCTGTATATGCTGGAAAAATGTGATTAAAAGCAGTGTTTTCATTTATATTCTATAAGTAAATTAATGACAGGATCAGCTCTTGAATCCTAATATTTTGAAGACTTAGGACTAACTAATGTTAAATCTTGGAAAAGCAAACAAATTTGGAATGTTATGAGATTTATAATGTTATTTTTTTTTGGGGGGGGGGAGGTACCAGGGATTGATCTCAGGGGCACTAGACCACTGAGCCACATCCCCAGCCCTATTTTTGTATTTTATTTAAAGAGAGAGTCTACAATGAGTTTTTTTTTTAATATTTATTTTTCATTTTTCGGTGGACACAGCATCTTTATTTATTATTTTTATGTGGTGCTGAGGATCGAACCCAGCGCCCTGGGCATGCCAGGCGAGCGTGCTACCTACCGCTTGAGCCACATCCCCAGCCCTACACTGAGTTGTTTAGCGCCTTGCTTTTTGCTGACGCTGGCTTAACTTTGATCCTCCTGTTTCAGATCCCAAGCTGCTAGGATTACAGGTGTGCGCCACTGCGCCTGGTTATATTTATAATAAGTTATTGATATTTGACATGTATGACTGACTTCTCTCTTGGTAGTCAGTTAATCAGAATATCTGCTCGGGTTTGAGTCTTTTTTTTTTTTTTTTTGGAACTGAGGATTGAACCCACGGGTGTTTACCCACTGAGCCATATCCCCATCACTTTGTAATTTTTGAGACAGGGTCTAGCTGAGTTGCTTAAGGCCTTGCTAAGTTGCTAAGGCTGGCCTCTAACTTGCAATCCTCCTGCTTCAGCCTCCTGAGTGGCTGGATTACAGACCCATTCCAACATGACTGGCTGGGTTTGAATCTTTTTTTTTTTTAAGAGAGAGAGAGAGAGGAGAGAGAGAGAAATTTTAATATTAATTTTTTAGTTTTTGGCGGACACAACATCTTTGTTTGTATGTGATGCTGAGGATCGAACTCGGGCCGCACGCGTGCCAGGCGAGCGCCCTACCGCTTGAGCCACATCCCCAGCCCTGGGTTTGAATCTTAACAGTATGTTACATTGCAAACGTTATCATAATTCTTGTGTTATTACCTTAAGAATTTGTAGATTCATCTATGTCACTACTTTGTATTTAGCTTTTAATTAGGAAAGTCTTATTGGAGATATTAGAATACTATAGTTCGTTTGAAAAGTTTTGAAACAAGGAGTAGTGCAGAGGTTATGATTTTAGATCTCCAACTTTGCTGGTGCATGTTGAACTCTGTTGATTGAATCATTTGGAAGAAGAGATGTGGAATATTTTTCAATTTTGTTTTAAGCTTTTTGATGAATGAAGCCAGATTCATTGTGCTTTCTACTGAATTTGTAGTGCTTTCTATATTGGTTGATATTTTGACTTTCAATCAGTTTTCTCCACCAGAAAGTTTCTATGTAAAGTGACTTACCTTTTTTTTTTTTGAAAAAATAATTTTTGGGTACTGGGGATTGAACCCAGGGGTGTTTAACCACTGAGCCACATTCTCAACCCTTTTTTATTTTTTATTTGGAGACAGGTCTTGCTAAGTTGGTTAGTGCCTTGCTAAGTAGCTGAGGTTGGCCTTGAACTTGGGATCCTCTTGCCTTAGCCTTCCAAGTTGATCCCAAGGCCTGTACCAAGATACTCACTGAGATTGTTCTTTTTCTTTTTTCCACATTTTAAATCTTTACATAATAGTTGTACGTATCAATGGGATTTGTTATTTGTTCATCTACAAAATATAACAATAGAATTTGGCCTGCACTTTCCCCCTCCTTCCTGCCTCCTATCCCTTGGCCCCTTTCTTCTACTGATCTCCCTTGGATTTTTAGAAGATCTAGCCCTACTTTGTTTTCCTTTTTCCTGTCTAGCTTCCACATATGAGAGAAAGCATATGAACCTTAACTTTGTGAGTTTTGAGTTATTATGCATGTTGCTTTATGACTGAATAACTTCTTTGTGTGTCATGTGTGTATGTGTGTGTGTGTGTGTGTCTGTGTGTGTGTGTATCTTTATTCATCTGTTGATGGACACCTAGCCTGGTTCCATAGTTTGTCTATTGTG